ATGGGCTCTGTGTGTGTGTGTGTGTGTGTGTGGAAATGATTATCTGCAAGAGGACAATATGTAAATTGTTAATTTAAGCTCTCTAGGAGTAGACGTTCAGTATGTACTGCTGAGTCCATGGACGCTCTTTGAATTTTCATGTGGCCGTAAAATTGAATGAAGGGTCACTGATCATTCATCCGACTTTAAAATGGCTCTGTAATATTCCAGCGTGCGCTAGCAGAATTTGCATTAGAGGCGATGAGAGTGGGGGTGGGCGCTCATTTGCTTTGTTAAATGTCGGTCGCGTCTTAGGGCGGCTTGCTCAGGGGAAGATGGTTCTCTCCACATATTGGGGTCATAAAAATGAGAAGCACGCGTCTTCAGAGAGAGTCACGTGGGCAGCCACGTTGGTCTGAAGCAGCAGAACAGAATTCGAGTCCAGCGGCACCTTTAAGAACAAATTTCTTTTAATTCATGGTATAAGTTTTTGTGTGCATGCACACTTCTTCAGATATAGTGAAACGGAAGTTGCCACTCCATACCTGTATGTATGCAGTTGTGTCTGCTGTTTTCTTTCCTTCCAATGCAAAACCAAATGAAATGGGCTGTTCTTATACCACAGTGGGAGGGGTCAGGACAAGAGGAGGAGGAGACTGGGTTTATACCCTGCACTTCACTACCCGAAGGAGTCTCAGAGTGGCTTAGTCTCCTTTCCCTGCCCCTCCCCACAACAGACACCCTGTGAGGTAGGCGGGGCTGAGAGAGCCCTTTCCAGGACTGCTCTTGAGAGAACAGCTCTGAGAGAACTTGTGACTGACCCAAGGTCACACCAGCTGCTGCATGTGGAGGAGTGAGGAATCAAACCCGGTTCTCCCAGACTAGAGTCCGCGCTCCTAACCAAACTGGTTGGAGCCGATGGGTTCAGAAAAGGTAATTCTCTGCAAAGCCGTTTGGCAATTTCTCCTTTTCTTCCTTCTAGGAAGGGCGGGCGTTCTGCCTGTTGGATTCTGGTGTTTCTGTTGTTCTTCTTAAAAGGCCTCCTCTCTCATATCTTTAGACGCCAGTCAGTAGGCGTTAGGGAGAGCTCTGACCGTCCAGGCGCTTCTTTGTGTGTTTTGGGGGGTTAAATCGCCTCTGCGCTTCATGTTTGGGGAAGCAGGGAGTGGTGTGGGGAAAAACAGAAGCTCATTTGAAAGCAACTACCACTTTGTGGTTTGCTTGAGTCAACGATGCAGAACGGCTGGCGGGAGAACTGAGGGAGGGAGGGGAAGGCGATGACATCCGAGGACCTCTCTGGGGTTTCGGCTTCCAGAAGAGGGATGGCTCCTGTGTAGCATCTCCTGAGGACGCTGGAATCAGCTGTCTTGCTGTTGTTGTCGAGGACAGCATT